TAGTTATTATATGTTATTATGCTGTTATTGTCAATATCCTTATCTTTATTGTTATTATTGCTTTTATTATCGTTATCATCATTATTTTTCTGATTTTTAACATTTATCCTCATTTTTATCATTAGCATTATTATTATTCCTATTATTATTATCATCATCATTATTCAAATTATCATTAACATTATTATCATTTTCCTTATCATTACCAGTATTGTTATTATTATTCCCATCATCATTATTGATATTCTTATTCCCATCATCATTATTGATATTCTTATTGTTGTTGTTATTATTATTACTATTATTATTATTGTTATTTTTATAGTTTCTCATATTGTTATTGTTATTATTATAGCCTTTATTTTTATTTTCATTTATATCATATACTACCAGTTTTATCATTATCATATCATTATTAATAGTATCATCACCATCATCATCATCGTCGTCGATTACATCATCATCAACCTCATCGTCGTCATCATTATCGTCAACTTCACCATCACCATCATCATCATCGTCGACTTCATCGTCATTACCATCATCAACGTCATCACCATTCATCAATCATCGTCGTTCGACTTTCATCATCACCATCAAATCATCAATCATCGTTCGTCGTCGTTCATCATCACCATCATCATCACCAATCATCATCATCGTCGACTTAATAATCATCAATCATCATCAGATCATCATCATCATCGTCGACTTCATCATCATCATCACATCATCATCGTCGTTCGTCGACTTCAATCAATCACATCATTATCATCTCTTCATTAACCATTCATCATTCATTCTATCATCGTAACTTCCACCAGCAATCATCACATCATCATCATCATCATTCATTAACACATCATCATTCTGTCGCTATCGTTTGCGCTGTCGCTGCTGTCGCTCTCCGGCAGACCCCAGAGACATCGGCCTCTGGTGTCTGCCAAAAGCACGCTGTCTCCCGCAGAGAGAAGATGGAGAAGGCGCAGGACATCAAGAGCAACGTCCTGGAGGCCATTTCGACGCTGAGCAGCAACATGGAGCTCCTGGGGATTCCTCTTGGCTCCGAGAACAACAGAGCTTCCTTCGAGTACATCAGAGGCATCGAGCTGGAGGGATTTGCCTTCCCGCAGGTGAGGGGGCGAAGGGGGGCGGGGTGTGCATGGTAGGATTTTAGGAATGGGAATACTGTCTGGTGTCCATGGTAGGATTTTAAGAAAGAATGGGAATACCGTCCTGGTGGGTCTGTTATTTGCGGACTGTTATGCTGCCGTTCGGAACTGCTCGTCTGCTCGTCCAGACAACTGCAGGACCAGGCAGGACGAGATGCGCGCCGCGTTCGGAATCCAAGACCCTTTCCCAACGATGCATACCGGCTCGAATTAAACATATCACTTTTTTGATCATACCGGTGTCTTTATTTTACACGATGCATAGGTTTTGTAACTCCTTTGATGCACATTTAACTAACCTGCAACTGACAAACACAAAAATATCCTTTGATAACACCAATAACGGGTCATAAAATTACCCACCAATATCTTGTGGTTACCTGCAACTAACAATGTTTAACATACAAATCTATTGTGACGTCATCTCGTCCTGCTCGGCCACCTTCGCAGGAGGACGAGTTGGACAAGCTAGACTACTTGCCCGAGATAGTGGAGGTTCCGAACGGTCAAAACATCTCGTCCAACTGGTCTGGACGAGATGGACGAGCAGTTCCGAAAGGCACCATTTAGCATGACTGTAAGAGCTATACACGTGTATTTGGTGGTCGATAACGAAGGGCCAACCGATAATGCACGAATGCGAATATCAGCTGAGACCGAGCACCATGGAGGGTTTGTGGGAAATTGCTAATCGGAAAGCGGTTTGTGGGTTCTGAAACGGTCATATTGAATTGAAGAAAATTGTCCATAGGTATCGCATGGTGTGCCATCATGCTATCCATGCTCAATTCAGCAGCCTCTGACGCCCAGAATGAATGATTATGTGTAGCGGGGATGCCCAAACGCACAAACAAAACACATAAACACACACATAAACAGATACACATACGCACACGGACACAGACAACACACACACAGATACAACACACACACGCACACGCACACACACGCGACTGCACACACACACACACGCACAACACACCAGCAACGCACACACACACACACACACACACACACACACACACACACACACACACACACACACACACCATACACACACACACACGCAAGTACGCACATCAAAATACGAAACCATAATGAGTCTTCTGTTTTATTAATTCACGACCATATAACGACTTTCATTCTTTCTTAGTTATATCTTGACCTGCATTGACGCCTTTGGTGATAAATTATCTTGATTTCTTCCGTGTGGCTCCTTATATAGCTTACTCTAATAATAATGATAATATTGTTGTCATCATAAATACCATTATCTTTATTATTATAATTATTGTTATCATCATCATCATCAGCAGCAGAAATATGAT